AAAGTCTCTATATTCTGCATTTTCTGCATTATTATCTCTATTTTCTGTATATTCCACACATTCTGCATATTCTTCTGCATGAGCTGCACTTTCCCTATTTTCTGTGTCTTTTGTAATTTCTGTACTTTTTATTGCCTGCATTTTCTATATTTTCTTGATTTACTGTGTATTTTTTGTACATTTTGTATATTCTGCTTTATTTTTCAATATTTTTTGTATTATTTCCTCGATTCTCTGTATATTCGGTATTTTCTCTATTCTCTGTATACTATGTATTCTTTGTATTGTGATGTGTATATTCTACACAGTCCGCATTTTCTGTATTGTTTGTCTTTCCTGTATATTCTCTAAAGACTGAATGTTCTATTTTTATCTATATATTATATATTTTGTGCATTTCCTGTATTATTTTCTCAATTTCCTGTATAATTGTTTGTATATTTTGTGTTGTTTTCTGCATTCTCTGTATTTTCTCTATTTTCTGTATTTCCTGTATTCTTTTTGTTCTCTAAGTTCTCTAAATTCTCTATATTTCTTTTATTTTCAAGATTTTCTGAAGTTTTTTTATCATTTGTTTTCTCTGAATCCGTTTAATTTTCTGTGTATTCTGTGTCTCATGAATATTCTGCATGTTTCTATGTTCTCTGTGGTCCGTACGTTCCGTATGTTCTGTATGTTCCGTGTGTTCTGTGTATTCTTATGTTCTGTGTATTCTTATGTTCTGTGTATTCTGTATGTTTTATATCTTCTGTATAATCTTTATATTCGGTATTTTTGCGTATTCTGTATATACTGCATATTTTGTATATTCTGTTTTTCCTCTATATTGTATATTTTCTGTATTTTTATCTATATATTCTATATTTTGGACATTTTCTGTGTTATTTCCTCAATTTCCTGCATTATTGTTTGTATATTCTGTGTTGTTTTCTGCATTCTCTGTATTTTCTGTATTTCCTGTATTCTTTGTCTTCTCTGAATTCTCTAAATTCTCTGTATATCTTTTATTTTCAAAATTTTCTGAAATTTTTTAATCTTTTGTTTTCTCTGAATCCTCTTAATTTTCTGGGTATTCTGTGTCTTCTGTATATTCTGTATGTTTCTATGTTCTCTGTGCTTCGTATGTTCCGTATATTTTGTATGTTCCGTATGTTTTGTATGTTCCGTATGTTTTGTATGTTCCGTGTGATGTTCCGTATGTTCTGTATATTCAGTATGTTTTATATCTTCTGCATAATCTTTATATTCGGTATTTTTGCGTATTCTGCATATACTGCATATTCTGTATATTCTGTTTTTCCTCTATATTGTATATTTTCTGTATTATTTTCTCTTTCCGTATATTCTGCACATTCTGTATTATTTTCTGTATTTTTATCTCTATATTCAATATTTTGTGCATTTTCTGTGTTATTTTCTCCATTTCCTGCATAATTGTTTGTATATTCTGTGTTGTTTTCTGCATTCTTTGTATTTTCTCTATTTTCTGTATTTCCTGTATTCTTTGTGTTCTCTGAATTCTCTAAATTCTCTGTATATCTTTTATTTTCAAAATTTTCTGAAATTTTTTAATCTTTTGTTTTCTCTGAATCCTCTTAATTTTCTGGGTATTCTGTGTTTTCTGTATATTCTGTATGTTTCTATGTTCTCTGTGGTCCGTATGTTCCGTATGTTTTGTATGTTCCGTATGTTTTGTATGTTCCGTATGTTCTGTATGTTCCCTGTGATGTTCCGTATGTTCTGTATATTCAGTATGTTTTATATCTTCTGCATAATCTTTATATTCGGTATTTTTGCGTATTCTGCATATACTGCATATTCTGTATATTCTGTTTTTCCTCGATATTGTATATTTTCTGTATTATTTTCTCTTTCCGTATATTCTACACATTCTGTATTATTTTCTGTATTTTTATCTATATATTCTATATTTTGTGCATTCTCTGTATTTTCTCTATTTTCTGTATTTCCTGTATTCTTTGTGTTCTCTGAATTCTCTAAATTCTCTGAATATCTTTTATTTTCAAAATTCTCTGAAATTTTTTAATCTTTTGTTTTCTCTGAATCCTCTTAATTTTCTGGGTATTCTGTGTCTTCTGTATATTCTGTATGTTTCTATGTTCTCTGTGCTCCGTATGTTCCGTATGTTTTGTATGTTCCGTATGTTTTGTATGTTCCGTATGTTCCCTGTGATGTTCCGTATGTTTTGTATATTCAGTATGTTTTATATCTTCTGCATAATCTTTATATTCGGTATTTTTGCGTATTCTGCATATACTGCATATTCTGTATATTCTATTTTTCCTCGATATTGTATATTTTCTGTATTATTTTCTCTTTCCGTATATTCTACACATTCTGTATTATTTTCTGTATTTTTATCTATATATTCTATATTTTGTGCATTTTCTGTATTATTTTCTCCATTCCTGTATAATTGCTTGTATATTCTGTGTTGTTTTCTGCATTCTCTGTATTTTCTCTATTTCTATATTTCCTGTATTCTTTGTGTTCTCTGAATCTCTTAATTTTCTGTGTATTCTGTGTCTTCTGTATATTCTGCATGTTTTCTATGCTCTCTGTGCTCCGTATGTTCCGTATGTTTTACATGTTCCGTATGTTCTGTATGTTCCGTGTGATGTTCCGTATGTTCTATATATTCTGTATGTTTTATATCTTCTGCATAATCTTTATGTTCGGTATTTCTGCGTATTCTGCATATACTGCATATTCTGTATATTCTGTATATTCTGTTTTTCCTCTATATTGTATATTTTCTGTATCATTTTCTCTTTCCGTTTATTCTGCACATTCTGTATTATTTTCTGTATTTTTATCTGTATATTCTACATTTTGTGCATTTTCTATGTTATTTTCTCCATTTCCTGTATAACTGTTTGTATATTCTGTGTTGTTTTCTGCATTGTCTGTATTTTCTCTATTTTCTGTATTTCCTGTATTCTTTGTGTTCTCTGAATTCTCTAAATTCTCTGAATATCTTTTATTTTCAAAATTCTCTGAAATTTTTTAATCTTTTGTTTCCTCTGAATCTTGTTAATTTTCTGTGTATTCTGTCTTCTGTATATTCTGAATGTTTCTATGTTCTCTGTGCTCCGTATGTTTCGTATGTTTTGTATGTTTCGTGTGTTCGTTGTATTCTGTATATTCTGTGTATTCTTATGTTCTGTATATTCTATATGTTTTATATTTTCTGTATAATCTTTATATTCGTTATTTTTGCGTATTCTGCATATACTGCATATTCTGTATATTCTGTTTTTCCACTATATTGTGTATTTTCTGTATTATTTTCTTTTTTCGTATATTCTGCACATTCTTATTATTTTCTGTATTTTTATCTGTATATTCTACATTTTGTGCATTTTCTATGTTATTTTCTGCATTTCCTGTATAATTGTTTGTATATTCTGTGTTGTTTTCTGCATTCTCTGTATTTCTTTTATTTTCAAGATTTTCTGAATTTTTTTAATCTTTTGTTTCCTCTGAATCTTCCTAATTTTCTGTGTATTCTGTGTCTTCTGTATATTCTGTATGTTTCTATGTTCTCTGTGCTCCGTATGTTTCGTATGTTTTGTATGTTTCGTGTGTTCTGTGTGTTCTGTATATTCTGTGTATTCTGTGTATTCTTATGTTCTGTATATTCTATATGTTTTATATCTTCTGTATAATCTTCATATTCGGTATTTTTGCGCATTCTGCATATATTGCATATTCTGTATATTCTGTTTTTCCTCTATATTGTATATTTTCTGTATTATTTTTTCTTTCCGTTTATTCTGCACATTCTGTATTATTTTCTGCATTCTTTATATTCTCTATATTTTCTTAAAATATATGATGAAAATAAACAAAAGAACTGATGGTTCAGTCCGAAGAGACTGTTGAAAGACATTATAATATTTAAATTGCTTAATAATTGCTTCTAATAATTGTTACGTAACGTCACTTCCGTCTTAGATGTACTCATAATGGTTCTTCTATGATAATTGTAACACGTACATTACCATGAAACTAGAACGAAGTAGTCTCTAATGATTATCGTTTCGAAACTCTTAAAAGTTCTAAGTAGGTGACATTTCGTAGTCAGTCGTCATTCCTTTCCGATGCTCCTACATTCAAAATCCAGCCAGCACATCGTTTGTACCATTGTTTCCAATTTATCCCACAAAATTTAGATCCGACATGATCCACTAGTGCACATTTTAAGCGCCGGCTTCGTTTTTACTTCGAACAAAAGCAATTGATTATTTTTGTGTCGTTGACTGGGGTGATGAACTTTAATCCGGATATTCGAATGTTCCCCATACATTTGTGAGGAATGAACTCGCGTACAGGAAGTGTTATCGGTAAGAGTTTTCTTGTGTTCGTTAACCGTTCCATTTGTTAGCGCGTGTTTAAAAATTTTATTTCGAGTATTCGCATTTACATGCTTAACGCTGATAAGAAAATTTAATTGTTGCTCGAAAATTGCAGGACACGTAATCACCCTGAATAAAAAACCACGACATCGAAATTTTTGCGCTTAATTATGAAACGGTCAATAAATAAATTGCTTAATTAATGTTTAATTTGTGTCCAGAGTGTCCCAAAACGCGAAAATCTGCTGTGAAATGTCGAAGCAAAACGCATTAATAAATCCAGTCGACCTTCGATTATCGAGCAAAACCCAAATAACGCTTTCAGTGATTTATCAACCCCTTGACCATACTTTTCTGATTCCGCAAAATTTTAACCCCCATATAAAATGCATTGCTTACGGTTTTTCTAAAGTGGGACGGGCTTAAGATAGCGCTCGACTTTCCCCCGCTTTTCATTTCTTGGCTTTCAAAATGCGAACAGGACACCGTGATATTTCCCCTTTCGCACCCTCATTAGCTGGAAAGGTGGCGTGTTCCAGTTGTGCCTCCAGACGGCGACATTTAAATATCATTCCGTCGTTCGAATTAAGTATCCATATCAAATGGGTTATTTTGTTTCAGGGAATACTTGATGCGGATCATTATGAACCAGGAACCCTTAGGGGTGGCATCAGATGTGGTGCACCCGAACAACCTGACGAGGTGGAGCGAAATAGCTCCAGCTCATTATTTGACTGATTACAGTGCCAGCGGAGCACCCAAGCACAATAATTCACCCTTCCCGTACGACCCCGAAATCAATCACAAAATTATCTTATGGTAAGTTACGGCAGGCGCAACGAATGGACCAATGAACGTTTGTGGAACTTTTAGCCGCTAAAATACGTATATTTTAGAGTATTGAGGTTTTTAATTCAAGTTTAAATTGTACTTTTTAATTTTTCGGGTTTTACCTCGGTTATTTTTGGCAATTGAGAAATGTATAATAAGATTTGGCAACGTAGCTATTGTCGATCAGGCTAGAATTAAGAAAGTTTGTAGATTTTAACTTGGTTTTCATTTGCACGGAAGTTTTTCACACTTTGTAGAGGTAAAATAATTTGAGAATATCATTTCCGCAAAATTCGTCTTGCAAGAACACTCAGTTATCTCATCAAATTATTTCGTGAGATGTTGTTTCCCATGAAAAGCAGGTGTTTCGTCTTCTACACATGCTATTCGCAAATTATTTTACCTCTGAGAAGAAATGGGCGTACAATGGATTCAGGTAAAGTCCATTTACTAAAAAAAAAAAAACATCGTAAAAATTACGTGCTTTCCTGTTTGGGCGTGTATTTGTAACTTTTTTTTTTAACTGCAATCAAGCTTAATAGTGTTTCTTTGGAATCATTACCCCGAATTTATTGGTTGGTTTATTGACTCGCATACATTTTATTATACACATCGTGTGCCAAATTGAGGTCATAACTTCAAAATTTTTATACTCGTTTATTAATAGAATTTAGAACGGAGTGGCTTGATTGGCAATTATCTTGATCATACTTGAACGTTAAATATAGGTTTGTAGTAACGGCATTAAAAAATAATAACTAAAGAATAGGTGAATGATCTCTAAAATACTGAACTTTCGGTCTTCCGTTTCCGTCGTGTCTGTCTGTTTTTGGAAAAAAAAATCAAAATAGTTAGATAAATTTTTGTTTTGAAACTACAAAATTGAAGACTCTGAAATCTTGCGAACGTTTTAAGGTTATCCTATAAATCGTTATCAAAATTTATCCGTTTATTCCCTTCCAAAAAATTGATGACGTCATGTCAAAATTGCGAATAAATCCTATCTAAAATAAGCAAAATATTGTGACGCCGTCCCTGTGGTTGATCCATAATGATTCATTGTTTTTATAAGACCCTAGCTCAAAAACGGCTCCATAAAGTAAAAATAAATAACAATTTCGAAAAATCGAAAATCGAAAAAATTGAAAAAATTTCCGAAAAGTCAAAAAATTGAGAATTCCGAATCGGAAAATAGAGAACTCAAAAAATCGTATATTGAAATTTAATTTAAAAAATTGAATATTCGAATATGGAAAAATCGAAAAGTAAAAAACTGAAGCATGGATAATCGAAAAATTGAAAATTAAAAAAATTTAAATTCGAAAAGGAAACGAATTGAAAACTTGAATATCGAAAAACCGAAACTTTTGTGATCTAAATATCGAGAAACCGAAAACTCAAAAATTTGAAAATCGAGATTTCGAAAAATCGAAAAATCCAAGGAACAAATATAGAAAAAAGGAAATATCGAAACTCGAAAAATCGAAAATTCGAAAAATGGACACATCCAAATTGCGAAAAATGAAAAATTTAAAAATGTAAAAATCGAGATATCGATTCACCGAAAAATTGAAAATTCAAAAATCGAAAAGTAAAATAATTGGAAAACTGAAGAATGACAAAACTGAAAATCGAAAGTAAAAAACTGAAAACTCGAATATCGAAAAAGTAAAAAAACTGAAGTCAAAAAATTTAAAATCGAAAATTCTAAAAATCGAAGAATTGAAACCGAAAAATCGAGAAATCGATAAGTAAACAAATTGAAAATTAGAATATCGAAACATGGAAAATTCTGCAAATTACAAATTTGAGAAATAGGAAAATCGAAAATTGGAAAATATACAAATTGAAAATCGAAAAACCAAAAAATCAAAAATTTGAAAATCGAGATTTCGAAAAATCGAAAACTCCAAGGAACAAATATAGGAAAAACCAAAATATCGAAACTCGAAAAATGGAAAAATATAAATTTCGAAGAATTGAAATTCAAAAATCGAGAAATCGAAAAGGAAACGAACTGAAATTTTGTATATCAGAAAATCGAAAATTTGAAAATCGAAATTTCGAAAAAGCCAAGGGACAAATATAGGAAAAACGAAATATTGAAACTCTAAAAATCTAAAATTCAAAAAATGGAAAAATTTGAATTTCGAAAATTGAAAAATTTAAAAATCTAGAAGTCGAGAAAAGGATTCATCGAAAAATTGAAAATTGAAAAATCGAAATATCGAGATCTCGAGAATTCATAATATCGAAAAGCAAAATAATTCAAAAATTGAAAAATTGGAGAATTAAAAAACTGAAAATCGAAAGGTAAAAAAATTGAAAATGCGAATAATTGAAAAATCGACAATTCAAAAAATTTAAAATCGAAAATTAAAAAAAAAATAAAATCGAAAGGGAAACAAATTGAAAATTCGAATTTCGAAAAATCCAAGAAACAAATATTCGTTGAAAACTTGAAAAATTGAAATATTCATAAATCGAAACAGCAGAAGATCGAGAAATCGGGAAAGTTGAAAAATCTAAAATCAAAATATCGAAAAACTTAAAAATCCAGAAATGAAAAGTTAAGAAATCGAAAACTTGAAAAATCGAGGAATCGAAAAACTTTAAACATTGAAAAACCGAAAAGTTGGGAAATGGAAAATTCGAAAAATTGAAATATTAAAAAAATCGAAAATCTAATAAATAAAGAAAAAACAAAAATTCAAAATCGGAACACTGAAAAATTGAACAATCGGGAAATTTCAAAATCCCAAAACTCGGAAATCGCAAAATTGAAAAATCGAAACACCCAAAAAATGAAAAGCCGAAAAGTCGAAAAACCGTGAAATCGAAAAATAGAAACATGGAATAATTGGACAATTGCAACATGGAGAAATCAAAACATGACAAAATAGCCCAAAATAAAAAAAATTGAAAAATTAAATTTTGAAAAATCAAAAAATTGAAATTTAAAAAAATGGAAAATTTGAAAATGGAAAAATCGAAAGTACGAAATTACGAAAACTGAATATTTGAAAAGTCGTAGAATTGAAATTGAAAAATCAAGAAATCGATTAGGAAACAAATTGAAAATTCGAATATCAAAAAAATCCAAAATTTGTAAATCAAAATTTCGAAAAATCGAAAAATCAAGAATTTAAAAGTCGAGATTTCGAAAATTCGAAAAATCCAAGAAACAAATATGTATAGAAAAACGAAATATCGAAACTCAGAAAATCGAAAATTCGAAAAATGGAAAAAACGAAATTTCGGAAACTGAAAAATTTAAAAATCGAAATGCCGAGGAATCGATTCGTCGAAAACTTGAAAATTTGAAACATCGAGAAATCGAAACAGCAGAAGATGGTGAAATCGTAAAATCGAATACTGAAGAAGTTGAAAAATAGACGAACTAAAAAATCTAAAATTAAAATATGGAAAAATGAAAAAATTGCCACAATTAAAATGTTGAAAAGTTGAGAAATTTAAAACTTGAAAAATCGAGAAACCGAAAAATTTTAAGCATTGAAAAACCGAAAAGTTGGGAAGTGGAAAATTAAAAAAATTGAAAATTAAAAAATCGTAAAATCTAAAAATGTAAAATTTAAACAAACGAAAAACTGAAATATAAAAATCTAATAAATTAAAAAAAAAAACAAATCGAAAAATCGAAAATTTACAAAATCGGAACATTGAAAAATTGAAAAATCGGGAAATTGAAAAATCCCAAAAATGAACAGTCGCAAAACCGAGAAATCGAAAAATAGAAACATGAACTAATTGGAAAATTGAAACATCGATAAATCAAAACATGACAAAATAGCCCAAAATCAAAAAAATTGAAAAATCAAATATTGAAAAATGAAAAAAGTTAAATTTAAAAAAATGGAAAATTCGAAAATGGAAAAATCGAAAGTACGAAATTTTGAAAATTGCAAATTTGAAAAGTCGTAGAATTGAAATTGAAAAATCGTGAAATCGATTAGAAAATTCGAATATTAAAAAATTGAAAATTTTGTAAATCAAAAAATCGAAAAACCGAAAAATCAACAATTTGAAAATCGAAATTTAGAAAATTAAGAAAATTCAAGAAACAAAAAAAAGGAAATATCGAAACTCAAAAAATCGAAATTTCGGAAACTGAAAACTTTGAAAATGAAAATGAAACATCGATAAATCGAAACAGCAAAAGATGGAGAAATCGACAGATCGAATAGTCAAGAAGTTGAAAAATCGACGAACAAAAAAATCTAAAATTAAAATATGGAAAAATGCCACAATTAAAATGTTGAAAAGTTGAAAAATTTATAACTTGAAAAAATCGAGAAACCGAAAGATTTTAAACATTGAAAAAATCGAGAAACCGAAAAATTTTAAACATTGAAAAACCGAAAAGTTGGGAAATGGAAAATTCGAAAAATTGAAAATTAAAAAATCGGAAATCAAAAAATCTAAAATTTAAAGAAACGAAAAATTGAAAAATCGAAAATGTAGTAAATAAAGAAAAACAGAAATCGAAATATCTAAAATTTATAAAATCGGAACATTGAAAAATTAAAGAATGAAAAACCTGAAAAATCGAGAAATTGAGAAATCACAAAATTGAAATTCAGAAAAATTGGGAAATCGCAAAATGGAATAATCGAAACATCCTAAAAATGAAAAGCAGAAAAGTCGAAAAAAATGAGAAATCGACAAATAGAAACATCCAACAATTGGAAAAATGAAACATCGATAAATCAAAACATAACAAAATAGCTCAAAAAAAGAAATTAAAAAATTTGAACAAAAAAAATGGAAATTTGCAAAATGGAAAAATCGAGAATTCCAAATTTCGAAAACTGAAAATTTGAAAAATCGGAAAACCGAAAAATTTAAAACTAAAGTATCGAAAAGTCGAAAAATCAAAAAACAGGAAAATCAGTCGAAAAATGGATTAATCGAAAAATAGAAAATTCAACAATCGAATACCTGGAATATCGGAAAATAGAGAAATCGAAAAATAAAAAAAAAAAAACAAAAATTTTAAACATTGAAAAACAGAAAAGTTGGGAAGAGGAAAATTCGAAAAATTGATATATTATAAAAATTAAAAAATCCTAAAATCGAAAATCTAAAATTTACAAAATCGGAGCACTGAAAAATTGAAGAATTAAAAAACTTAAAAATCTAGCAATCGAAAAATCTTAAAATTGAAATTTAGAAAAATTGGGAAATCGCAAAATGGAAAAATCGAAAAATCCAAAAAATGAAAAGTCTAAAAGTCGAAAAGCCGAGAATTCGAAAAATATAAACATTGAACAAATTGAAACATCGAAAAATCAAAACACAACAAAATAGCCCAAAATCGAAAAAAAAGAAATTCAAAAATTTAAATAAAAAAAAAATCGGAAATTCGAAAAATGGATGTCGAGAATTCGAAAACTGAAAATTTGAAAAATGGAAAAACCGAAAAATCTAAAATTACAATATCAAAAAATCTAATAGTTGAAAGTTGAGAAGTCGAAAAATCGAGAAATCGAAAAATTCAAACTGGAATATTGGAAAATAGAGAAATCGAAGAATAATATAAAATCGAGAAACCGAAAATTTCAAAAATGAAGAATTTGAAAATTTGGATAATGGAGGAATTGAAAAATGGAAAAATTTAAAAATTAAAAACCTGAAATATCCCAACAACGGAAATGTCAAAAGACTGAGTAATCGAAACTTGAAAACCCGAGAAATTGAAACATGGAAAAGTCGAAAATTTGAAAATTCGGAAAATCGTACAATTTTGATTTTTTTCAATAGTCTCTATCTAGGATAAAAATTCAACACGGATTCATTAACCACAAGTCTAGGGGTATCTTATTTTATAAAATTTAAATAAACATTTACTAATGTAAATTTTAGAGGAGTCATCGTATTGTCGGGAGGGATGATTAGTTAAATTTTGGTTAGCGTTTTACCAACTACACGACAATCCGCATACACATAAAATTTGCTTAGACATTTCTGATCACAAACAAATTGCACTTGAATGTGTTCGCTGTACTCGCTTTTTAAACTTTTTTTTTTCAACTTTGTTGTTATAGAAGTGAGCAGGAATGAACTTGTTTGGATTGTATTGTAAACATAAATCTGTAGACTTAAAAAACACACCTTTAGAATACGAGCGCAGCGAGCACATTTAAATTGCAACTTTGGCAGATAATCACAAACATTTCTAGGATTCGCCTTTTTTAGACAATAAAAAATTCTCTTATAATAATTTAGTTTCTCAGGGACACTAACGAGTAATTTTTAATAACACCTGAAACGTGCTCGCTGCGCTCGCGTTCTTAGTATTCCTTTTTATGTAAGACAATTACAATTTAGCATTAAGAAAAATAAAAAAATTGTATCTGCACAAAGTTAGCAATCATAAAATAAAATCACAGTGACTTTTTCACTAACAACAATTATTACAGTCTTTTTTTTACTTTATTAACGGGTAAACTTTTATATAGCTGCAGATATTGGGGAAGTCGTGTTTTTTATACTTCTTTAGGGCTAAAGCATACACAGTCGTAAAGATAGAGATCTTTATTCGTAAATAACATTTTGTAGCCTGTTTATATCTATCATTTGGCCACTTATTTGGGGTAGATCTTGATAAGGGGAACCCCATCGCCCAGTACCCGAAACTGATTATCGGATTTTTCAATACTTCGACAACACTTTGTCCGATTCGACCATTTTATCTCAGTTGAAAAACATTTTCAATTTATTTACGTGGTGTTAGTTGAAATTGCACTTACACAAGCTTTTTAATCTATAAATTGTACGCGCCGCTACATTTCTCAATAGCTCGTTAAAAATCGTTTCTGCTGCGATAATGATACTCGGTATTGTGACAACGCTACCTGGACAGAGGTTGATGCATGACGAACTGGAACGCGTTCCAAGCGTCACTGATTTTGAATGAGTCATCTAAATTAATTTTTTTGTTTATCTAAAAAAAAATTTCAAAAGTAAAAAAAATATTACAATGTTACAACAACCAACAGTTAAGTGATAAGTTTGAATGACTTTTCGAATAATTTGTTTCTAATGGCACACTTAAACGCTCGTGGTTGAAAACGTTATTTATTAATTTATATAAATGAAATAAAACAGCGAGCAATCGAATTGAAAGTACGCGTTTCTGGTTAAAAATGGGGTCGTTCGGTGAATCGAAGTCGTGGAATTTTTTCGCTAAATTTTGTCCCATTAACAATTCATTTATAATCAAACTGTCACGTAACTCCTCCTAGGCAGGCAATTTATCTATAAAACTATCGATCTTTCCCGTAATATTTTATTAGGAATCTTTTGTTGTCTGCACGCCGAACAACTGATTACATTATAAATAAGGCACCCTAGGCAATCGTTTGTTGGGTTATTTTAAGCGTTTCCCGTGTAATTATGTAACTAATTCCTAATGGGAGACCTTTTAATATTAAACGAAATTGATCGACGTTACACGGTTTTACCTTCTAGTATTTTTGCAGGTCTGGTGATATTTCAGCACTCCAAGTAGATGCTATAGTCAATTCTACAAATGAATCGATGAACGAGAGTAATCCGGTCAGTGATAGAATTTTCCAAAGGGCCGGGTCTGAATTAAAAGAGGAAATCAATCTAGATATAAGAGGTAATTTTTCCCAATCAGAGTTCCGAGTGTGGGTGGCTTCGATCTTGCTTGGCGTTTGACTCAATCCCCGTCGGAAGTAATAATAATAATAATCGTGTTCTTTGTTTTAGAGTGTAGGACAGGCGATGTTCGAGTTACACAAGGCCATGCACTGCCAGCTCGATATATTATACACACCGTTGGACCCAAGTATAACATTAAATACCAATCTGCTTCGGAAAATACACTGCATATATGTTATAGGTTTGTAGATGAAGTAGAGTAAGCGGTTAGCGAGTTTTCGAATACTGTTTTACCGCACGCGTGAGTTAAGGTTGAATTTAATTTCTGTGAACTGTGTTTACTCATCCTGCGGGGTGATTGCATTCGTGATTGTGTAATCTCTGGTTAGAACAAGTGTTCTATTATCACCTAAGTGTGACGTAGGCGTTAGTTCGATATAAAAAGATGTAATTTACCTGGAGTTAATTATGCGCCTGGTTGCATTTTTCTTTTCGAAGTTAAGTGCTATAATGGTGTATTTATTTGTATTCGTTGTTGGTGTCGGCCTGGGGTGATAAGGTTATTACGTTAATGGGGACGGTAATCGCTTATAATTTTTAAATTGTTATTACTCAGAAAATGAGTTGGATTGACGCGGATGTTTTTGTGGGGCTGACCTGTTGCCAAATTGAAATTGTGTTAATATTTCCTGTGGTTAAAAGAGTCAACTTGCTGGGGTGGCGTGTAAAATATTGTTTGTTGGTTGTGGATAATATTAGAGCACATTTTGTAGGTTTTAACTAGTTAACGTAAATTAGTATCGTAAAATAAAAATAGAATGACAAAAACTGCCACTAAATCAAATGGAGACCACTTCAAAACGAGGATTTAATTTTTGAATAGTATAATTATCAAATGTTACTTAACTGTTAAAAAGTAACAACCTAGAACTTGTGGTTTATGAGTTCGTGTTGAAATTTTTTCCTAGACATCGAGATTTTTGGAAAAAAAATCAACATTGTGGAATTTTTCGCTTTCTGGATGTTTCGATTTTTCAATTCCTCGAATTTCCAATTTTTCAATTTCTCGATTTTTCATAACATAATTTCGATTTCTCTATTTTCCGATATTTCAGTTTTTCGATTTTTCATATTTTTTGAATTTTCAACTTTTCATTTCTGGACTTTTCAACTTCTCAAATTTTCATCCTTCTGATATTTTGTTTTTCCCATTTCTCGATTTTTGAGTTTTTCGATGTTTCAGTTTTGGACTTTTTAAATATTTCGATTCTTCAATTTTCCTTCGATTGTTCAATTTTTTGATTTATCGATTGATTAATTTTTCGATATTTGAGCTTTGGGGTTTTTTAAATTGTCGATTTTAAATTTTTTGATTACTCAATTTTTGGTTAATTCATTTTTGACATTTTTCAATTTTATTTTTCGATTTCTGTATTTTCCAAGATTTTAGTTTTACGATTTTTAAATATTTCAATTTTCCAATTTTTCAATTTCCCGATTTTTCATAATTTCGGTTTCTCTATTTGCCGATATTTCAGTTTTTCGATTTTTCATATTTTTCGAATTTTCAACTTTTCATTTCTTCAGTTTTGCGTCTTTTATATTTTCCAATTTTTCAATCTTTCAATTTTTGGCGTTTCTAAATTTTTGATTTTTGGATCATTCGATTTTTGGATTTTTCTACTTTTCAAATTTCCGACCTTTTGATTTTTCAATTTTTCGTTTTTTCCATTTCTCGATTTTTGAGTTTTTCGATGCTTCAGTTTTAGAATTGTTCAATATTTCGATTCTTCAATTTTCCTTCGGTTTTCAATTTTTTTGATTAATCGATTGATCAATTTTCCGATATTTGAGTTTTGGGATTTTAAAATTTTTCGATTACTCAATTTTTGGATAATTAATTTTTGGGCTTTTTCAAATTTTCGATTTCTAGATTTTTTTATTTTTCGGTTTCTCTATTACCCAAGATTTCAGTTTTGTGATTTTTTAATTTTCGATTTTCCAGTTTTTCAATTTTTCAATTTTTCAATTTTCAATTCCCCGATTTTTCATAATTTCGATTTCTCTATTTCCGATATTTCAGGTTTTTCAATATTGCAATTTTTAGCGTTTTTAACTTTTCGTTTGTTGGATCAATTTTTGGATTTTTCAACATCTCAAATTTTCAATCTTCTGATTTTTCGATTTTTCGATATTTTGTTTTTTTCCATTTCTCGATTTTTGAGTTTTTTGATGTTTCACTTTTGGACTTTTTAAATATTTCGATTCTTCGTCTTCAATTGTCCTTCGATTGTTCAATTTTTTTATTTATCGATTGATCAATTTTTCGATATTTGAGCTTTAGGGTTTTTTAATTTGTCGATTTTAAATTTTTTGATTACTCAATTTTTGGTCAATTCATTTGTGACGTTTTTCAATTTCTCGAGTTTTCTCAAATTTTCGATGTCTAGATTTTTTTTATTTTTCGATTTCTGTATTTTCCAAGATTTCGTTTGATTTTTAAATAATTCAATTTTCCAATTTTTCAATTTCCCGATTTTCAATTTGTTGACATTTCATTTTTAGTATTTTTCAATTTCTCGATTTTTCATAATTTCGATTTCTCTATTTACCGATATTTTAGTTTTTCGATTTTTCCATATTTCAATTTTTGGCGTGTCTAAATTTTCGATTTAGGATCAGTCGATTTTTCGTTTCTTCGACTTTTCGATTTATAGATTTTTCGACTTCTCGATTTTGCGACCTTTGGATTTTCGGATTTTTCGATATTTTGTTTTTCCCATTTCTCGATTTTTGAGTTTTTCGATGTTTCAGTTCTGGCATTTTTCAATATTTCGATTCTTCAATTTTCCTTCGATTGATCAATTTTTCGATATTTGAGTTTTGGGATTTTTTAATTTTTCGATTTTAAATTTTTTCATGACTCAAATTTATTTTTGGAATTTTTCAATTTCTTAATTTTTGAAATTTTCGATTTCTAGATTTTTTATTTTTCGATTTCTGTTATTTTCCAAGATTTCAGTTTTAAGATTTTTAAAAATTTCAGTTTGTTGACATTTCATTTTTAGTATTTTTTAATTTCTCGAATCTTCAGTTTCTCGAATTTTCAACTTTTCGATTTTTCAATTCTTCATGTTTTCGTTTTTTAATTTTTTTCGATTTTTCAATATTTCAATTTTTGGCGCTTTTTCGATTTTAGGATCAGTCGATTTTGTGATTCTTCGACTTTTCGATTTTTTGACGTTTCGACTTGACGGCCTTTGGATTTTTGGATTTTTCGATATTTTGTTTTTCCCATTTCTCGATTTTTGAGTTTTTCGATGTTTCCGTTTTGGAATTTTTCAATATTTCAATTCTTCAATTTTCCTTCGATTGATCAATTTTTCGATATTTGAGTTTTGGGATATTTTATTTTAAATTTTTTGATTGCTCAATGTTTGGATAATTCATTTTTGGGATTTTTCAATTTCTAGATTGTTTTTATTGTTCGTTTTCTCTATTTTCCAAGATTTCATTTTTACGATTTTTAAATTTTTCGATTTTCCAATTTTTCAATTTCTCGATTTTCAACTTCTTGATATTTCATATTTAGTATTTTTAAATGTTTCGAATCTTCAATTTCTCGATTTTTCAAAATTTTTATTTCTCTATTTATCAATAATTATTTTAGTTTTTTGATTTTTCAATGTTACGAATTTTCAACTTTCCGATTTTTGAATATTTAAATTTTTGGCGTTTCTAAATTTTCGATTTTTGGAGCAATCGAATTTTCGATTTCTCGATTTTTAATTTCTCGACTTTTAGATTTTTCGACTTCTTGACGTTTCAACCTTCAGATTTTTCCCTATTTTTCGATTGTTGAGTTTTTCGATATTTCAGTTTTGGATTTTTTCAATATTTCAATCTTTTAATTTTCAATCGATCTTTCAATTTTTTGATTTGTCGATTGATCAATTTTTCGATATCTGAGTTTTGGGATTTTTTCAATTTCTCGATTTTCAATTTGTTGATATTTCGTCTTTGCTATTTTTCAATTTTTCGAATCTTCGATTTCTCTATTTTTCATAATTTCGATTGCTCTATAATTTACCGATATTTCAGTTTTTTGATTTTTCATTTTTTCGAATTTTCAGGTTTTCGATTTTTCGATTCTTCAAGTTTTCGTTATTTAAATTTTTCGATTTTTCAATATTTCAATCTTGGAAATTGAGAAATCCAAAAATTTTCGGTGTCGATTTTTTGATTTTTCGACTTTTCGATTTCTCGATTTTTTGACTTTGCGAGCTTTCAATTTTTCGTTGTTTTGTTTTTCCCACTCTTCGATTTTTCTGTTTCAGTTCCTCGACTTCTCGATTTTTGAGTATTTCGATGTTTCAGTTTTGAAATTTTTCAATATTTAATTTTTGGGATTTTTCCATATTTCGAATCTTCAATTTTTTGACATTTTATTTTTTTTAATTTCTTTAATTTTATATTTTTCAATTTCTCGATTTCTCTTTTTTTTATTTTTCAGTTTTTCCATTTTTCGTTTTTTAAATTTTACATTTTTGATTTTTCCAATTTTCGAATTGTAAATTTTTAGAGTTTTCAATTTTCCCAATGTTTCGGTTTCTCGATCTATCCAGATTTCTCAGTTTTTCAATTTTGCGATTTTTCAACTTTTAGAATTCTCGATCTTTTCATGTTTCGATTTCTCTCTGTATGTTTCAATTTTCCAATTATTCAATGTTTCGATTTTTCGTGTCTCTGTTGTTCGATTTTTAGACTTCTCAATTTTTTAAGTTCTCGGTTTTCCAATTCGTCGATTCTTCAATTTTTCGATTTTTTATTTTTCAATTCTTCTGCAAATTTCGATTTTCTCGAATGTTTCATTTTTTGATTTCTCAGTTTTCCGTTGTTTCAGTTTTACGATTTTTTGAATCTGCAATTTTTCTTCCATTTTTTTAATTTTCCGATTTTTCAGTTTTGGGAGTGGACTTTTCAATATTTGATTCTTCCAAGTTTTTGTTTTCTTAAATGTTATGATTTTTCGATTTCTCATTTTTTTTATTTTTCAATTTTCCCAATTTTTCGATTTTTTGATTTTTGGCTATTTAGATTTCTCAATTTTAAATTTTTGGTCTTCTTAATTTTTCAGTTTTTCGACTTCTCAACTTTTCGTTTTCTCGATCTTTTGATGTCTCGATTTCTCTCTCGATGTTTCAATTTTCTAATTGTTCAATGCTTCGATTTTACAGTTTCTCGATTTTTCAGCTTTTCGATTTTTCAGTTTCTCGATTTTTCGGCTCTTCGATTTTTCAGTTCGCGGTTTTTCAGTTTGTCGATTCTTCAGTTTTTCAGTTTTTCTATTTTTCAAATTATAGTTTTTTCGGTACCCCGATTTCTGCTTTTTTATTTTTCAATTTTCCCATTTTTTGATTTTTTAATACATATTCCAGTTTTTCGATTTTACGAATTTTCCATTTCTCAATTTCTCGGTTTTTTAGTGTTTAAAATTTTCCGATTTTCAAGTTTTCGATTTTTTGGTTTTCCACACTTCAATTTTGGGAATAATTCCATTTCTGGTTTTTTCAGTTTTTCGATATTTTAATTTTAGATTTTTCGTTTATCGATTTTTTGATGTTTCGACTTCTCCATGTTTCAATTTTTCAGCTTTTCAATGTTTCGTTTTCTTGATTTCTAGTTTTTCGATTTTTCGAATTTTCAACTTTTCGGCATTTCGATTTTTCGAATTTTCAACTTTTCGGCATTTCGATTTTTCAAATTTTGAAAATTTACAATTTTCGATTTCGACTTTCGATTTTTCGACTTTTCAATTTTTTAAGTTCCCGATTTTCCAATTTTTCGACTTCTCGATTTTTTATTTTTCAGTTCTTAAAATTTCGGTTTTCTCGAATGTTTCATTATTTGATTTCTCAATTTTCTGATTTTTCAGTTTTACGATTTTTCGAATGTTCAATTTTCCTCCATTTTTTAATTTTTCGATGTTTCAGTTTTGGAAGTTTTCAATATTTGATTCTTCCAATTTTTTGTTTTCTTAAATGTTAGTTTTTTCGATTTCTCGTTTTTTTTAATCTTTCAATTTTCCCAATTTTTCGATTTTTTGATTTTTGGTCATTTAGATTTCTCGATTTTTAGATTTCTCAATTTAAAATTTTTGAACTTCTCAGTTTTTCAGTTTTTCGACTTCTCAACTTTTCGATTTCTTGATCTTTTGATGTCTCGATTTCTCTCTCGATGTTTCAATTTTCCAGTTGTTTCGATTTTACAGTTTCTCGGCTTTTAGATTTTTCAGTTCTCTATTTTTCAGTGTCGATTCTTCAATTTTTCAATTTTCCGATTTTTTGATTTTTTAATACATATGTATTTCGACTTTTGAAATTTCGTTTTTTCCATATTTTCCTGAATTTTTGATTTTCGAATTTTTGATTTTTCGGGGTTTCAATTTTCGATTTTTAGATTTTCGAAGTTTAGGTTTTTCAATTTTTCGGATTTTCATTTTTTCAAATAGGTATTTGATGTATCGAATTTTCGATTCTTTAATTTTTTTGATTTTCGTTTTTTCTGTCTACAATTTTCCGTTCTTCCATCAATTTTTTGATTTCTCGAACCTTCGAATTTCGGTACTCGAATTTTCAATCTTTCTAGTGTTGTTTTTTCGATTTTTGATTTTTCTATTTTAACATTCTTTAGTTTTTAGACTTTTCAGTTTTTTTACTTTTGGATTTCTCAAACTTTAAATTCCATTCTTCGGTTTTTCGAAAAAAAAAGCAATTCTTATGATTTTTCAAACAAACCAAAATTATCGGGCTTTACTTTAAGGGCGAGGGAAGTTCTGTCGAATTAATTTCCACTAATTATTTTCACACTATGCGTTTTAACAAATTTTTGAGTCAGTTTTAAAGTTACAGAAATTTGATTTATTTTATTTATGACAAATTTAGCTAAATTGAGTATAATTACTATAATATAATATCATAAGGGTATAATATTCCATTTAATAATATACTTTAAGATCAGTGTTGTAACATTTCCAATACCACATTCCAGTATAATTTAAAATCAATGCCTAAACTTACTTATTAATACACCTATAAAATATGCACGTTGCGTATCCAAGCTTCATAAAAATGTCTTCACGTGTTTCCAATTCTCGTTTTTAAATTTGTACAATAAAGAACTTGTGGGTGTAGAATTTTGATGGAGACAAGGAAACACGAAAAAGGACGAGGTTATGCAACCAGTTAAACACTAGAACGCTTGCCTACAATAAAATTCTCAATGTATTGAAGTGTTTGGTTTCCGGTTTTCTTTCTACATATTTCAAAAGTGTTTTGCGACGGTCAGACATACTAGAACTTAATATTTAATCATTTCAATAAAATACGCTACTAAAACATTCCGTGTGACAAAGGAAACTTCGCTTTTCTTCCATTAGTTACTAAATTTTATATTGACCAGGACGGTACTTGGGGTTTTTTGTTCGGGTAATTTACATTTATCACTTTGATGTAAATCCGATATTGAAAAAGTCATCAACAACAGCAACGTCAGCTGGAATTTATAAAATGTACTTGTATTTTTTAAATTAATGTGAGACTGAATAAGACGAAATAATAAATAGGTACACCTTTGTTCAGTTAGTATAAGCATAAGTATGATTTAGTAGTTAATTTTAAGTTACACCCTAGTAAAACGTGAAAATGTTTAGAATGTTAATATGAGGCACGTGGAATATGTTGTGTCGCACTAGAGTGGACATATCATGGGAAGAACATGTGGAGCCATATTTCATTGTTTTGGAAGAAACTGATTTAAATAAAGTACAAACAACTTAAATTACGAAAAACCAAACGAAGCACTGTTACTTTAAGCCATGTTTTACCGCAAGTAGCTCGTCCGTAAGCTTTTACTTTGACTGGGACGCTTTATTGGTGTTTTTCTCAAAGTATTTTCACTCTAGCAAAAGTATTTGTCAATAAAAACAAGAAAGACACATTTACTACAATCAAAATCGCATTAAGCTGGTCTCGGAAATGCTTGGCGTAATTCGAGAAAAAATGTTCAAATTCAAGCCGCTAGAAAATTATTAAATCTATATGAGAATAATAAATTACACCTGAAAAAACATTTAAAGTCCTCGTGTAAATTTTTCACACTTATTACAGAAATAACTGTGTTTTAACTTATCGATTTAGTATTTTTTAACAGAATTTAGGAATTAAAAGCAACTTAAAATAGACCCGTTTGACTCACCTTTAAAAATTAAAATGGAATAAAGTGTCCGTTTTATAGTTTGTGGGCGTTGTAGGAATACCAAACTAGAAAATTACAAAATATTGGTTAAATTCGACCTAATTATTCCACCCACAATCCACAGGCAATCAATCATCACTTAGAACTTAACCTTTTGCATCGATTCTATTTTTAAATAAGATGTTTTATTAATTTGGGCTGCCCCAGTTTGTAGTGTGAAAGGCCTATTTTTTGCCAAGATGTCATCATAGTCGTAGATATCTAGTACACAGTGTTAGTTTTCTAAATTTTTCAGGAACGTGCTCCAGAAGTCAAAGGAAATGGGTCTCCACTCCATCGCCCTCTGTGTTATAAACTCCGTAAAGAGAAACTACCCGCCCGACGAAGGAGCACACATAGCACTACGTAAGCACCTCGTATTTGTTCTAAGCCATCGTTCTACTTTGTTCAAACAAAAGGTATCTTATCGTCAATAAACACTTCTTTTTTATCTTTGCCAACCCGGAACTAGCGGTCGCAGTTAAAGTGCGTCCTTTTCCACAACTCGTTCGACGAATTTGTTTGCCCATCACTTAGTGCTAATTATTAGCGAACGGGTTATGTATCGTCTCATTTAATTACGAAGCCATACTGCAAATTCAGTTGAAGGTCGCGCCAATCCCATTAGCACTCCCGTGCAGTATTATTTGTTAAAGAGTTAGGTTATTCGCGGTCCGTTTTACGAGTTTGATGGTTTGTTTGTGTTACGCAGGTACTGTGAGGAGATTCCTTGAACACCACGGAAGTTCTTTCGATACCGTCATCTACACCGTTGACAATACAGATTTAGGTATTTACGAAGTGTTGTTACCGCTTTATTTTCCGCGCTCGAAGTTTGAAGAAGACGCTGCACGTTGGCAGCTGCCTGCAGACGTTGGGGGATACGACGGAGAACCGATGCTACCTGATAGACAAATTCGGATTATTGACAATCCGCAACATACTCTTCATGGTGAGTTGGGTTGGAATTAGGTTAAGCGGATTTGTGAAGTCGGAGTGTGTATAGGGTTTAATTAATTCAATTTAATTTAATTAGTTTTAATGGAAGACCTGCATTGTGGTTTAATTAAGGGAAAATATGTTGTAGAAAAACTGCGTCGAGTTGGGTCATCTGTTTAAATTGGTCGTAGGAAGTGTTGATTTTGACCTTTGCATAGACAACATCACACCCACTGCGCGAGTTCTATTTATTCAAGTTGTTTGACAGCGTTTTCGCTTCATTAAGTTTCTATACACGTGGTGTTGTGACCTGTACATGTTTCAGGTACTATTCCCTCAAATAAGTATGTGTAGGAATGGTCGACTCGTCTAGCTCGCTCCGTTTGCTGTACTAGTATTTTTGAAATTTTAGAGTTTTGCGATTCTAGGATCTAGGAACAATTTTCGCATTTTTAGGAAATTTGTTGTCTTATCTATGGTGTAGTTTCATATACAGGGTTGTAAAGTAAAGTGGGATTTACAAACTTGATGCTGACGTTGAAGTTCCCTTTCCAGTTGCTGTTCCCACTGACGTTGGTTTTAGAGCTGAAAATTGTCATTTGGAGGATTTAAGTTGGTTACTAGAAAAATTTACCATTTTAGACATGTTTTAAGTTTCTTGTTGTCGAAATAAGTCTACACATATTAAGAGACAAAAAAGTAAAATATAAACCCCGCCCACCCACCCTATCTCAATTGTGATGATTTTTTTTTATTCGTTGTGAGCCAAGAGGGCGGAGTTTAACTGCAAAATCCTTATTTCTCTACGAGAAATTAAAAACATGTTTTTGAGTATCGTGTTGTGTAAAGAAAAAAAAATCCAAAGATGCATATTTGTCTACAAGAATTTACCATTTTAAAGATGTCTTAAATTTTTTCTTCTGAAAAGACGACTACATATATTAAGAAAAAATACAAAATATAAGCCCCGCCCACGCACCCTACCTCAATTCTGATGATTTTTTTTTTAATCGTTGAGAGCCAAAGGAGCCGAATTTAATGGCAAAATCCTGATATGAAATCACTATGTAAGATATTTTGAGTATCGTGTTATTCAAAGAATATTATGTATATTAAGAAAAATTTAAAGCCCACCCATACCTGCCCTGATCTAAATAGTAATGGAGTTTTCATTCGTTCGCAGACCTAGGGGCCGAGCCTAAGCCCAAAATCCACATTTCTTTACAAAAATGTACCCGTTTAAACGTATTTTACGTTTCTGAGAATAAAAAAATCATCACAATTGGGTGGGCGGGGTTTATATTTTGCCTTTTTTTCTTAATATACAAAGTATTCTTTGAAGGATACCCAAAAACATTTTGTTAATTCCTTGTAAAGAAATAAGTATTTTGCAGTTAAGCTCCGCCCTCTTGATTCACGGCGCATAAAAAAATCATCACAATTGAGATAGGGTGGGTGGGCGGGCTTATATTTTGCCTTTTTGTTTTAATATGTGTAGACTTGTTTTCACAACATGAAACTTAAAACTTGTTTAAAATAGAAAATTTGTATAAAGAAACATCGATATTGTAATTAGACTGCGCCCCATAATTGCAAAATCCATATTTCCTTACATACAAAAATATACCATTTTAACCATGTTTTAAGTTTCTTGTTGTGAAAAGATGGCTATGTATAGTAAGAAAAAAAAGGCAACATATAAGCCCCGCCCACCCGCCCGATCTCAATTCTGAGGATTTTTTTTATTTGTCGTAAGCCGAGGGGCGGAGGTTAATTGCAAAATCCTTATTTTTCTACGAGATATTACCATGTGAAATATGTTCTTAAGTAATCATGTTATACAAAGAAAACTAAATGTATTAATTTAAAAAGTAAGCCACACCCATCCTCCGTCTCAATAGAATTTTTCATTTGTTGTCAGACCGAGGGGCGGAGCGTAATTGCAAAATCCCTAGATATATTTACCATTTTAAACATATTTTAAGTTTCTTTGTGAAAAGATGAATACACATATTAAGAAAAAAGGCAAAATGTAAGCCTCGTCCACCCGCCTTGTTTCAACTATGATGTTTTTTTTTCCTCGTGAGCCAAGGGGGCGGAGTTTAATTGCAAAATCCTTATTTCTCTACAAGAAATAAACATGTTTTTTAAGTATCGTGTTGTTCAAAGAATATGAAGAAAAAAACATGCTAAAAATTAAGCCCCACCCATATTCATCCTAAGCTCAATTGTGACGAATTTTTCATTCGTTCGCAGACCTAGGGGCGGAGCCTAACTGCAAAATCCACATTTCCTTACAAAAATTTACCCTTTTAAATGTGTTTAAGTTTCTAAGAATAAAAAAATCATCCCAATTGAGACGGGGTGGGTGGGCGGGGTTTATATCTTACCCTTTTTTTTTATATACAAAGTATTCTGTGAACAACACGATACTCAAAAACATTTTTTTATTTTCTTGTAAAGAAATAAGTATTTTGCAGTTAAGCTTCGCCCTCTTGATTCACGGCGCATAAAAAAAATCATCACAGTTGGGATAGGGCGGGTGGGCGGGCTTACATTTTGTCTTTTTGTTTTAATATGTGTAGACTTGTTTTCACAACATGAAACTTAAAACTTGTTTAAAATAGAAAATTTGTATAAAGAAACATCTATTTTGTAATTAGACTGCGTCCCATAATTGCAAAATCCATATTTCCTTGCTATTTCAATTCTGAGGATTTTTTTATTCGTCGTAACCCGAGGGGCGGAGGTTAATTGCAAAATCCTTATTTTTCTACGAGATATTACCATGTGAAAATATGTTCTTAAGTAATCGTGTTATACAAAGAAAACTAAATGTATTAATTTAAAGAGTAAGCCCCACCCATCCATCTCCGTCTCAATAGAATTTTTCATTCGTTGTCAGACCGAGGGGCGGAGCGTAATTGCAAAATGGATATTTCCCTAGATATATTTACCATTTTAAACATATTTTAAGTTTCTTTGTGAAAAGATGACTACACATATTAAGAAAAAAAGGCAAAATGTAAGCCTCGTCCACCATGTTTTTTTTCCTCGTGACCCAAGGGGGCGGAGTTTAATTGCAAAATCCTTAATTCTCTACAAGAAATACACATGTTTTTTAAGTATCGTGTTGTTCAAAGAATATTAAGAAAAAAACATGCTAAAAATTAAGCCCCACCCATATTCATCCCAAGCTCAATTGTGACGAATTTTTCACTCGTTGTCAGACCGAGACGCGGAGCCTAATTGCAAAATCTATACTTTCCTAGAAAAATTTTAACATGTTTTACCTTTCTTGTTTTGAAAAGAAGACTACACATGTTAAGAAAAAAAGGGCAATGTGTAAGCCCGTGTAGTTATAATACCTAATCTGTTTTTAATATATTGATTACACATATATTTTGACCTACCTAATCTGAAAATCTGCATTGGGATTTGGAGTAGCTTTAAACTTTTCCTTTTTGGGATTCACAGTAATTTGTAGCTGCTGATTAGTTATTCTACTTCTTATCATTTGCTTTCGGTTATTTGTTGGTCTGTAATTGGGTAAATAACCTGTTGACCGACTATATATAATAATAATAATAATAATAACAAGACGAATAGCAATAGATCTTGTTGATTTAAACGTCGAGAACTAACTATTTTTAACAATGCATAAGTACTGACAGAAAGCTATATTGTAGAAAATGATGGCAGCTATTTAAAATAGGGTTTCGGTGAACGGGTGATTAAATGGCTTAACATTAGTGGACCTCATTATCTCCATCAAAATTAGATTTTCGTGGAATTGGTGCTGTCAATTAGAAAAATGTCCCCCCTACTTCAGCGGATTTTCCTTCAAGTTGGCAGCACTGCACACTGCCGCAATTTGATTGGTTGAGAATCCAACGTCAACGGCAACGTCAGCGGCAAGTTTGTAAATCGACCTTAATGCACAAAATTTAGAAAAAGCGCAGCATTTGTTAAAAAAAAATGCAAAAACATTTCAGGCCTTTCATTTTACTCTCCATCTTGTGACATATGTCAAAAAAAAATTTACGTCAAATTTGTGAAAGTTATGACGTGATCAGTGTTTTTTTTTTAATGAGACGCTATTATTTGATTGGATTATTTGGTATAGTGGTTCCGGTGAGAGATTGGGATTTATTGACAGTTGACATGTAAGTTGGCAGCAACCTAACACTATAAAATACACTGAAATTCCTACGTTGTCACTCACAGCTGGCTGTCACTGTCTCTGTTACAAATGTAAAACTACTGAAAGTTTCATTACTAAGGTTAGGCCACTTAAGGTAGGTGTCCATTTGAGAGGGCGCTTGCGAAAAATAATTCCAAGATCAGCCCGTAACGCCATGGTCGGGCCTGTCCTTAACTGGGTTTCTACCTGGTTTTTCCGAGTATGTGAGCGACTCTCACAATACGAACGCGTTTCGTAGTGCGATAATGATCTCCTGTAAGTCTGTTTTACGTATATTTTTTTGGTAATAACTCAATTAATTGCAATAATAGACCTCTGAAATTTGAAATGACAACTTAAGACTAAAGATGATATAAAATCAAAACCAGAACTCTCGTGAGAGTTGCCCTCCAGTGGACACGTACCCTAGTAGATATTTCAAACAATTTTCAGGAGAATACAGAGGTATAATGATAATAGTCATCGTTTTTTGTTATTAAGAGACAGTTTTGTAACAAAAAACATCAACTCGAAGCCAGGAATTCATTTTCGTATCGCAAAGTTATAGCTCCTAAAAATTCTCGAGTAATGTAAAACTTATATTTTGTAGGGCTTAAGATTAGAATGATTTTGAAATTTCAAATTTCGCGCCGATGGTACACTTTTCTTCGCGTAGATTTAGTGACTTTTCTGTCACTCAATCTCTCACCGTACGCAGTATAAAGCTTATTTTTCTACATATGAAAATGTAGCTTGATGTAGGGGTTGCATAACAAAAAAAAAAAAGAAGAAGAAAAACAACAATAACAAACTTATGAACATGAAACAAA